TTTTTTTTTTTTTTTGTGTGTGTGTGTATTGAAGACTCTTACTCGACTTCTGTTTCCATAAGAGGGAAAATTTCAGGTCCACCACAAGTTATATGGGAGTGCAGTCTCAACTGGGAACCCTTGCACAAATTATTAAAGCCATTGATCCCAAGCTTCATCAACACCTTGGTATGGATATTTTCCCCATAGAAACTTCCAATTTGTGGATTTCTAAAGTCCAATGAAATCATATATTTCTTTTGATTGGGTTTTGCTCAGAGATAGTTGGAAGTCTAGTTTTGACTCAATAACCTACAGTCACTTGGTACCTCACACGTGATGGCTAAATTTGTGCTTCTCAAAATATAATCTCATCTTCTTTCTTTTCTTTTCTATCTTTCTTTCTATTATTTCTTTCTTTATTGTTTTTCTTCCTCTCCTTGTACAAAAACAAGGCCACTCACACAAATATAACTTAATGCCCGGTTTTCATTTGTTAGAGGAGCTAGATGGTGGGGAATATCTGTTCGCTATTCGCATGCTGATGGTTCTTTTTCGAAGAGAGTTCTCCTTTGTGGATGCAATGTATCTCTGGGAGGTAAATTTAACACAATGCCTCTTTCATCTCCACTCAACATACTTGAAACTGATGCTGTGCAATATTTATGATTTATTAGGTCATGTGGGCCATGGAGTACAATCCGAATATCTACGCATCATATGAGGAATCACGTGATGCAACCTCTTCCACCACTGACCAAGCCGATGTCAAACCGAGTCAACTCAAGCAGTACGGAAAATTCCAGAGAAAAAACTTGAAAAGCGGATGGACTGACGAGAGAAGTGCTCTTGCTATTTTTCTCGTTGCAGGTGTGCTTGAGAAGAAGAATAAACGGCTTCTAAAAGAGGCTCAAGGCCTTGATGATGTCGTTCAGGTACTTCTGTTTTTTTTTCTTCTCTGCAGAATCTGAAAGCATAGTCCCTTGTTGCATCTTTTTAAAGTTGCCATTATTTGTAATCATGTTCACGGTTTTGAGAATCTCTTATCATTTATCAAAGATCTTGAGCGAAATCACCGGAAATCTGGACGCCAAAAAAGCATTGAAGCAGGCACTGAAAGTACACAAGAAGTATTTGAAGGCAAGTTCTCGTACTAAAATCAGTTCTCTACATAATTACACGAACAAACTCTAAGCTTTAGGCTGTGTTTGGTCTTATTTGATTAGCTTATATGCTTCATGTATTCAAATAAGTTTGGTTTGGTTTGTTAGGACGAGTTTTTTTTAAGAGCCCGAGCTTATCTCATAAGCTTCTTTGGGTAACTTTTCAAATAAGGTTATTGAAATTTTTATTTCATCTAGCTTATTAGTTAATTTTACCACACTTTTATCATATAAGCTAGCTTTTCAGCCATAAATCATAGCTATTAGTTATAAGCTCGAAATTCACTAAAAACTATAAGTTAGCTTATCAGCTAGGTTTAGCAAACATAGCCTAAGTTCACTACTACAATTCAGTTTCCTATTCCAAATTTATATCTTAAAATATTATGATTAGTCATTTACGCTACAAACTAACCAACTCAACAATTGCAACTTCTAAAAGTAGCAATATATGTCGAGGGGGTATTTCTTAATTTTGAAAGATATTGCTCGTTCTTCAAAAAGTAGCAATATATGTCGAGGGGGTATTTCTTAATTTTGAAAGATATTGCTCGTTTTGCTGTCTTTTTTTCGGTACTTGAGCTAAATCGTAACTCCAGTATCTGTATTCATTTCTATTTTCTATGCCCAGTAGGTCTACTGTTAGGCAAGCTTTACCGTGGGCAGTTGTACATTTTTAAGAAATATGCATACTATTATGCAAACTGACATGCTTTATAATGCAACTTAAACAAAAATATGACATTTTACAATATAAATATGATTTTTAAAGTATGATGGCTGATGGGTCGACCTGCCTAACCATTAGTCTGCCCCACATAAGAATTTGCATTGCCCTTTTTGTATTATCTTGTAATTCTCATTGCTTATTGTTGACTGCAGGCCAAGAAATCGTAGTGAACTTTTTTGCAAAACTTCCTTTTAAATCTTTGAAAGATTTTAAACATCGGTTCCCTTATTCCTTTATTGTTTTTTTTATCCATTCTTCTGTAATAAGAAGGAAATAATGTTGTTGTCATGGTTGTTTGTAATTTGTTATTTTTTAGTAATGTAATATTAATCCCCTTTTTAGTTGAATTTTGAGATGCATTGATGATGAGAATGTAGATGAGACCAACTTGAATTGGTTATTGTTTTTTCAAGATTTAGAATCGGCTGATGATTTGTGGTGATGTTGCTTAAATTTATGAGAAATTTGCGTTTCTTTAAAAAAATGCGTTTCAAGATTTAGCAACGCCACAATTTTTTTTTTTTTTTTTTT